CCCAAGGCCAGCCCCTGCTTCTGGCACATCACAAGTCCTCTGTGAAGCCATTTCCCCTGGGGGATCCTCATGGAATCTACCCAGCCCACTGGGCCACTGGAGGCTGGAAGTACAGACACGGCTTGGTGAAAGCTTGGACAACAGCAAGCACTTGCTATTGGGATTGTCTTTCCCGGCTCAGGACGGAGGGAGGGGGTCTGGTTCCAGCTGTTGGGGGCCCTTGGTCACTAGACGTGTGCGTGTGTGGTCACCTTGTCTCTCACCCTCTGGCCCTGCAGGAACGAGGTGCCCACAGGGTCTTGGAAGCAATGACCTACCTGCCCTGCTGAGCCCAACATCCCAGATTCCCAAGTCTCCCAGCAGTAGTGGGGGCCCGAGGGTGGCAGATGGCTCCCCAGACGGGCCTTGACAGAAATCCTTGATCAACCCTTCCAACTGAAAGCACTTCCACATTCGCAGCCACCACCTCCTGGTGCCCCGCAGTAACCCCGGGGAGGAGGCAGGGCAGGAGCTGGGAACCATATTTTGCAGGTGAGGAAACTGAGAGGATGCGAGAAGCAAAGTGGCTTGTCCACACTGGTGGGCCTGGACAGGTTTAAGAGCCGGGGCTCTGGTGTCACAGGCCTACGGTGAATCCCGGCTCTGCCACTTAACTGCTGTGTGACCCCATGCTTAACCTCTCTGGGCCTCGATGCCTCACCTGTAAGAGGGGGATGCTGACAGCATCTCCTCACAGAGCGGGTGTAAGAACTAAATGAGGGTTTGGAAAATGTTCAGTGCAGTGCCTGGCACACTTGGGGCACCCAACAGTTTGGGAATATAGTTAATTATCACCCCAATCTTCAGCCTCCTAAGCTTGCTCTCTTTTTACCCCCCGCTGCCTTTCTAAGGATTGAAGACAGCAGCTGGCAGTGGGAGGTGGTTGCTTTAAATATGAGATGAGGAGAACAAAAGGAAAATAGAACAGGGTGGTGGCTTGTGGCTCAACTTTTAATAACCCCCCCTCCTGAACCTGGGGGAGGGACCTGACGGGCAGAATCCGATGCTCCCTGCTTCCTATTCTCAAGGAGCTAAGCCTTCCTTCGCAGCTCAGTCACTCCTGCTGGGGGAGGGGAGGGCACTGGTTTGGGCTGGGACCCCACAACCCAAAGGGACAGCCCCTGCCTGCCTGTAGGCTCTGTTCTCCGGAGAAGCAGGAAGTAGGTTAAGCAGAATCCTGGAGCTTCTTTGCGTGGCTTCCAAGACAACATTAAATATTCACCAGCAGATCTCACCACAGGCCCCACCGACAGCTTCAAAGGCAGCCCCGCACCCTGCAAAGCATTACCAAGTCCTCACCCTTCACCTTCTCACACTGACGGCCCTGGTGCCCCTCGCGCCCCTCGCCCCCGCTTCCAGCCCCCACTCCGGTGAGGCCTATGGTTCTGGAGTCTGTGCAGGCCCCAGTGGGGGGACCAATGTTTCACTCTCTCTGATCTGGCCGGTGCTCACTGCTCTCCCAGGCGGAGGGATGGGGCCCTGTGGGTTGGGGCCTGTGACTCGGCCTCCAGATATATCTGGTCAAGGCTGCCAATCTCCCCCACGCTTACTCCAGCTGGGCCCAGCAGAGGGGACCGAGGTGTCAGTGAGCGAGTCACTGCTCCCCACACAGATGGCAGCAGAGAGGGCATGCTGGCTGTGGCTGCAGGGCTGTGGTCGCTGCTTCCACTAAGTAAAAGCCTGGGGCTACTGAGGTTTGAGCAGAGGGCGAGGAAGAGCAGACCCAAACAGGCCAGGAGGAAGCGGCTAGGAGCTGGATGGACTGAGGCCCTGACAGGCTGTGGGGACCCCAGCTCTCTGCAGGTGGGGGGAGATAAACAGAAGGTCTGTGAACGTACCATGCGCCTCCACGAGCAGGGATTATGGAGGCTGGCAGGCCCGGGTTCGGGTCATGGCTAGAGTCGCTTCCTAGCTGGACCCTCCATCCTTCCTAGCTGGCAAGACATCTCCATCCTTCTAGCACTTTCTTCATTTGTAGTTGGGGACAGTGATTACCACCCTGGAGGTGTGTTGAGGATACAGGGCATCACGGTCATAAGGGAGGGAGCCCAGTGCCTGCCCAGTGGGGGACACTCCACAGAGGGAAGTTTCCCCCTCTTCAACCCCAGCAAACCCTTCCCCTTCAGTCCGCTCTCCCGCCCGTGAACTCCACTCCCCTGAACATCACACCAGCTTGCTCCTGTCACTGTTTTTCCGCACCTGCTGTTGCTCCCTCAACCGATGGTGCCTTCCTCCTGCGTCCACCGTGTCTCATCCCTCCCCCGGAAAATGCCAAGGCCTAGTTCAATGCCACCGCCTCTGTGCAGCCCTCGGCAGTGAGAGTCGCTCCCTTCTCTGAGCCCCATATTCCGCCGAAGCCCACCCTCTCTCTCCTCCTAGCAGATTACTTAAATGCACCTGCTTTCCCGTTCCTGGCCTGTCCCTTCAATAGACTGTGAGCCATTTGCTGCCAAGGATGGTGCATTCTTTGTTGTTACATGCCTCTCCTTTCCGGCCCCCGTCAGCGAATGCTTGTTGAATCACTGGCCATGAGCAGGGGGCCCTGTGAGGAAGGTCAGGGTGACCACGGCTGGCACGGGCCTCAGGGAACACGCCCAGGGTGCTCGGTGAAGACAGCAACAGCACACACCACTGGGGCGTCACCCGCTCCAGATGCAGGCCTGAGACTCCCAACAGCCTTAGGAGGCTGGGGCTTTATATCCCCATTCTACACACAAAGCAACTGAGGCACAGAGAGGTTAGGGAGAGAGGGCTGGGCCTGAGCCAGATCTGGAGTCCTCAGAGCCCACACTCCCAACCACCACCCCCACCCCTAGGCTGTGGGCTGAGCCAGCCTCGTTTCTTAGCACCCACGTGTGGCAGATCAAGGGAGAGAACAGACGCAAAGCAGGCGGTTAATAAAGCGTAGCTATTCCAGGCCTCGGCGCCCCCTCCTTTCATTCCCATCTGCGCACCTCGCCAATCTCTCCAGCAGCACCCAGGGTGGCACGGGGCGCAGGCGAGTGCAGGCCCAAAGTCAAGGGGCGGCCCCCTCACCTCCCCGCCTCACGTCCCAGAGGGCCAGGACCTGCTCCACAGGTAGAGCTGCGAGCCGACCAGCCGGTCAGCTGAGGGGCAGTGACCTCGGCTTCTCGTTCTCGTCCGCCCCACTGCGCTCGGCTCACATGGCAGCAAGTCAGCCAGCCCTTGTGAGGTCCAGGAGCGAGCCGACGCTCCTCTCCCTGCTCAGCCGCACTGGTCTTGGTCCGAGCAAGCTTTAGCCGCCTGACGCGCCAGTGTCCAGCAGATCTGCTGACAGATCTCATTGCAACTGGACTCTGAGCCTCGGAAGGGCGTGACTGGGTCTGGTGCCAGGACTCCCAGGTCCGAGTGTCCCGGGTGGGCCACCTCAGGAGGGCCCCGTGGGTGGGGAAAGGCAGGCTGTGGAGAAGGAAGGCTGCCCCAGCTCCACCCGTGTCGGGCGTTCTCAGGTCGGAGACTTGGATTCAGAGGCCAGCCCCTGAGATAAAGCGGCTTCATGGCCCCGCAATGAGACCCCCTCATCCTCAAGCCGCTTCTGCCTCCGTGCACTTACTCCCATGGTCCCCTGGCCTGTGCCCCTCTCATGGTAAAACCCCATTCTCCCTGCAGGAGTCGGCTTTGAGGCCTCACCCCACCAGAGGCCCCCCTCCTCCCTTGTCTGGGCATGGACCCGTCCTTCTCCTCCTAGAATGCCCTGTCCTATCCTCTATCCTGTCACTTTTCACAGCTGGCGAAACAGTTGCGTTCAAGTGCTCCTCCACAACAGACTGTGAGCTCCCAGAGGGTAGGGTCTATAGCCTTCCCATCTTTGTACCCACACTCCCGGGGCCTGGCCCTCAATAGCTGTTGAATAAACATCTCTGAACCGAGCCAAATTACGTGAGACTGAAAATGTCCTTACAGTAGCTCGGTCTGGCCACCAACAGTGTCTCAATCAGGGTCCACATGGCCCCATCCAACTGCACTCAGCCCCTGCCCATGATGTAATGGTGAGGGGCAGGGCCAGGGAAAGCAGGGCTGTGCCTGGTCACAGGGTTTCCAGCGGCCTCGCTGTTTAGCCAGAAGCTTCTCTGGGCCCCTGGGACCCACCACAGCCTGAGGACACTGAGCACGTCTTCCCCTAACCTCAAGAGACTGTAGATCGAGGTCAGTTTTTGGTCATTTTAATTGTAAAAACCAAGACATTTATATAAATAAGACTGCTGTGTAAAATAGGATTCACCCTTCTACTAAAACCCTTCTCCCCACACTCAAAAAGAATATAGAAAATCCAGCAGAGAAAGAAGTACAAATGCGCTTGCGGTCCCTGATGAGAAGTCACTGCAGGCCAGGCTTCCCTGCTGGCTTCACTGCGCTCCCGGCCCGGGCAGCTCACCGGAGGCTCAGCAACACCTCGAGAAACCGCTCGAGAGCAGTTCCCACCCACTCAGCCACCGCACGCGTGGGAGCAGTGTCAAAGGTTCATGCAGCCTGGCGGCTGGGGAGGCAGGAGGGGATGAGGGGAAAGGCTGCTTGGGCCTCATGCCGCAGCCGGGGCTGCAGAGCTGTGAGTCCAGTGAGATGCAGTGGTCTGTTCAGCCTGGGGTCAAGTTGGGGAAGGGGCTTTTGAGGGTCACCACTTCTCCAGAGGACAAGGAGAGACGGTGCCAGTGTCCCTTGAGAGAAGCAGCTGCTTCTTGAGGCTATTTGCATACTGCCAGAAAAGACAAGGACAGCAGACACCTGCCAGCAGTGCTAAGGGTAGGGGTAGGGGGTTCCTAGGATGCGAGGGGAGAGCAGCCCCTGAGGGAGGTGGGGCTGGCATGTCCTTGTGAGAAAAATTCCATCTCCCCACCCTCCTTCTACCCTGTCACATCTCCCCACCCCGCCCCTGCACGGAGACCGCTGCCTCCTGCCCCCTTCACACCCTGGGACTCAGAGTGAGGTGGCTGAGAGCCTGGGGATAGAGAGGTCAACAAATTCACACACTGGGCAGAGCTCAGGACACTGGCATAGCAGGACAAAAGAGAAGACCCCAGACTGTGCTCTGAAAAACCAGCACCTGCCTGGGGCTGCTCCCCATCCCTGGTGAATGGTAGGGGACGGGGCAGGGGATGGGGCAGTGTCAGGAGCACTTCCAGACGCACACGGCCAGGGTGCCCCCGAAGTACAGGTAGAGGAGGTTCTTCACCTCGTGTGTGATCTCAAACCCAAAGCCTTCGCCGATCACCACGTGCCAGGAGGAGCCGAACTTCTTGTCCATCGTCTCTTTGATCATCTTGGCGGCACTCTAGAACGAAGAGGATGCTTGTCAGAGGGGGAGTCTGGGGGACGGAGTGGGCATGAGTCAGCTCCCTCTCTGGGAAGCAGAAGTCTTGGCAAGAGAAAAGCCTGTTGCCCTATTATTGTTGTTCTGCTGCTCACGGAACCTTCAGAAAGGCTCTCGGCGCAGGCCACCTCCTGCCGGGGCTCTTACACAGGCACAGAAAGCCGGACGTTACCTCACTGGTCGAGGAGACCCTGGCAAAGGTGGCAGGGCAGGTTGGAGTTGAGCTCTGTCACTAAGGCTCGTTTCCGGTGTCAGAACCAACAGGCTGTTCTCGGGACCGAATGACGTAATTATCTGAGAGCACTCTGCCGACTGTACGGGGTTATTCCATCACCGCAAGGTGTCGGGTTTATCTTCAGGGAACAGAAAGGCTTTTCCCTAATGGGTTCGGTGGGCTCCCGGAAGAGAAGCTGGACGGCTTCCCTCAGTCGTGGCAACAGCCTGCTCCTTCCTGTGCTCAGTCTTTCAAGAAGCTTCTTTCAAGAAAAGGTCTAGGGAGGGGCAGAGGCCCCAGCCCTTGTGGGGCGAAGCCCAAGCTCGGGCACTTGCGTGTGCCAGCAGTGCCCCCCACCGCACCAGGCGCCACGCTGAGCACTTCTCCCACATAATCTCAGTACACACATCCTCATGACTGCCTGCTGAGGAGGCAGCCTCCCCACCCCAGTTACAAACCAGGAAACTGGGGGTCAGAGATGAGAAACGGCTTGTCCAAGGTTAAAGAGCTCGGAAGGACTGGATACACGATTTGAACCTGGGCCCGGGTTCTCACTAACCAGGACCTGCCTCCCCACCGGCTGCCATGACAGTGACTTCTCTCTCGCTCACCACCAGACTGATGAACAACATTCCCGTGTTGGTGCCTACTGGCTGTGCTGCCAGCACCTAGAACAGGGCCTGGCACAGAGACGGTGTCTAACATCTTTTTTGAATGGATGAATGGATACATGAGTGAATGCCTGGGTGGGCCTCTGTTCCCCGCTGGGATGGAGCCAAGGGGAAAGGTGCCCTATTCAGCAGCCCACCTGAGACAGGGAACGGGGACAGGGGCGTCACAAAGATCCCTCTGGCTTTTCTTCCCCTAGGGCTGGGCGTGACCATGAGATCAGTGCCTGGAGACAGCACCAGCCTCTTCCCGGCTGGCCTTCCCCAAGCAGTGAACCCTTCCAAGGAAGGCACCGGCCTAGTCCCAGCAGGACTCTGTGGAGCTGGCTGTGGGGACTGGGCCACTGGATTCACCTATAGGGGTCATCAAAGGCACAAGGGCCGCCTGTACGGATGGCAATACCTCGTTGTTGTTGGAGAATTTCTCACAGGCCGTGACACAGAGCTCCATGGTCTCCACTCGCATCTCCTCTGGCATGTCCGAGTGCTAGAGATAGGGCAGGGGTGACAAACAGAGAGAGGCTTAGCCCGTGACCTGGCCTTCTGGGCTGGCCTCTCTGTCCCAAGCTTAAGGCATGGACACTGGGTAGCTGCCCTGGCACAACCCTGGGCAGAGCCCAGAGAGGTGACCCAGCTCCTGACTCAGGGCGTACAGCTGGGGCAAAGGGGGCGCGGAATCCAGATGAGCCATGTGGGCTCCAACGCCCAGGCCCCTCTGCAAGGCACGAAGCTCTGTCAGCACCATGTTCCAGCCAACAAAGACGGGGAAGAAGGCTGGCCCAGGCAGGAGGAAATGCCGGTTATGGAAATGGTGTACCAGCAGCCCCAGAAGCCTGAAGAGACAGCTCAGCCACTCTTGACGGCTCCTGGTTTTCTTCCTGCCTCCCTGGCTCCTCCTTCTTCATCCACTCTTCCGATGACCCTCCTCCTCCAACCGCTGGAGCCCTGGCCATCATCTCCCCTCTCCTCTTCTCCAGCCATCTACCTTCCAGAGAGGCCCAGCCTGTTCCATGGATTTATCTATCGTCTATACGGGGAGAGTTCCCACATTTCCATCCCCAGCTTTAAGCTCTTTTTTGGGCTCTGTTCTCCTACGTCCAACTGCTTACCTGACAACCTCACTTAGATGTCTGAAAGGCAACTCTTGATTTTCCCCACAAACCTACCCTTCCTCTGTCTTCCCTCTCTTGGTAATCAACACCACTCTCTCCCATGTTCAGGAGAAAACAAATCCTAGCAGTCGCCCCGACCCGCTTCCCCTCACACCCCGCCTCCAATGCATCAGTGAGTTCTATTGCCTCTACCTTCAAGATCCGTCCAGGATCTGACCGTGTCTCGCCACCCCCACTCTGTGACCTGCACCCAGCTCCCCTCATCTCTCTGGGCCTCTGCAATGGCGTCCTCACTGGTTTCCCCACTTCTACTCTGTACCCTAAAATCCATTCTCCTTACAACAGCTGGAATGATCTTTTAAAAACATAAAACAGATCACATTAATTCTCTGCTTAAAACCCTCCACCATTCCCCTCTGAACTCAGGATGCAGTCCCCCTTCCTCACCGCAGCCCGCCAGGCCTGTGAGGTCTGGCCCCCCCATCACCCTGACCCTCACGTCCTGCCACCCCTTTCAGCGCTCTGTTCCAGAGAATGGCCTTCTTTCTGTTCCTCCAACATGCACAGTTCATTCCCACCTCGGGCTTCCTGGGCTTGCCGTTGCCCCTGCTTGGAATATTCCTCCCCAGATCTTCACAAGGCTTGCTCCCTCACTTTATTCAGGTCTCTGATCAGAGAAACGTTTCCAGAAGCCAACCTCTACTCTCTAGCTCCTTTCACCTGCTTTATTTTTCTTTATCGCACTTATTATTTGAAATTATGTTCTTTAAATCTTTCTTCCATGTGGGCCAGGCCTTCGTCCGTCTTATTCACAACTATATCCACCGTGCCCAGAATGGTGCCCAATATACAGCAGAGGCCTAACTAGAGAGTTGTTGAATGAATGAATGAATGAATGAATGGATCACTGTCAACTCCTAGATCTCCAGATCTGAGCTGGCAGAGCCCGTCTTATCTTCCTCCCACTGCTGTCCCGCAGGACACGAACTCCCCTCGCCTCTCTCCGGAGCTGCGTGGGCCCTGCTGGCCGCCCTGCCTCCCTCCCCGGGCCTTACCCTGACCAGAGGGAAGGTCTGCAGGCGTTTATAATCAGCCTCATCTTTCTTCCCTTCTGTTTCTCCCATGATCCTTCCACCGTGACCACTGGAGGAGAGAGGGGGGCTTGCAGGCGGTGCTGGGACCAGCAGTTAAGACACACCCAGGAGATTCAGGAAGCAGGCCCTGACAACTTGGTGGGAGCAGAGAATGTCTTTCCCCCAAGGGGTGCTGTAGAAAACAGGAAAAACCAAGAGAAGAGAGTTGGCTTTAAAACCATACATCACAAATTAGAAATGTCTCACTAACAATTTGACACCTCCCCGTCTTAACTCCTCCGCATCCTTTTCCAAATGGCCAGCAAGTCTGCAGACGGGAGGATGAGTCAACACGAGATGCTGGGACCCAGTTAAGAACACAGTGGTACGATGCTGCAAGCCCACACTGTCATTATCAAGACAAATACTGACTGCGGGCCAGGCCAAGGATGGAGCCTTGAGCTGGCAAAGAACAAATGCAGCTCCTCTGCATGCCCACTATGTACACAGTCCTTATCTCACAGCAGATGTGGTTACAAAGTTAAATGTCAGGTCACGATCAACAATCCTGGGCTTCTGGGCATGCAAGGGCCTCCTTCTGCAGGTCCCTGATCTGCAGGAGGAATGGGAACAGCGATGCTCCAGGTCCTCCATGGCACGCCAGGCTCCTCCTCCTGCCCGCTCCCCCTCAGGCCACCCTGTCCTGTCTGGCTGGCGCAGGAGCTGGGAGACCCGGGCGTTAGTGCTGGTTCCATTGCTCAACCACAGTATGGGCCTCAGATTCCTTGTCAGTAACACAGGCTAGTCACATCCATCTCACGGGGCTGTCATGAGAATCAAATGAGACAATGTATGTAAAGCAACCATCACGGTGCCAGGCACTCAACAAACTGTCCTTCCCTCCCTCTGGCTCCTGGGGGAATCAAATGAGAGAATGCGTGTGGATATGACTGGAAAGTTACAAAGCCTAATATATGTATGATTCTTTTTCTTTCCAAATCTAGTTATCTAATAACAGATGGGGCTTTTCCTAAAGAGATGGGCCTGGATCCTAAGTGACTGGAAGCAGTGCTGGAAATCCTGGAGTTTTTCTCTATCCTACAATTCAATTTATCCTATAATTCAAAGGACTTTTTATCTCAGAAGTACTAATTTAAATGAATACAAACCACCATGTTGTAAAACCCTCTGTAACAATCCATGTGGGACAAATATCGCCAAATCATGTCATTCTAGGATTTCTCACATTTCTGAATAAATTTACTTTCATGGCATAGCCACCAAACCCCGAAGAGGCCCAGCGTAGTAACTAACAAGTAATGATAGGCGACGTTCATTGGGCTCCCTGTGGGCCAGCCACTGTTCTAGGTGCTTCCCATGCACGCACTTAGTCTATCGCTGCAACATCCCTTGAGGTAGGTCCTGTAGGCACGAGGCTGTTACGCTGCTGGCCTGAGGTCACTCAGCTAGTGAGAGGCAGAGCTGGGGCTGGACTCTGGGCACAGTCCGTGGTGTGGGCACTCCTAACCCCTCCTCCTAAGGCCTCCTCAAGCTCTGTCACACAGCAGGCACCGCAAAGCTGACCTCGCAGGTGTGACCACTGGTGCGGTTCATGTGATCCCAGCAGGGAGATGAATGTCCAACCTTCCCTTTCAGTGTCTACTGTCCTAATGCTAACTTGACCCTTGTTTGGCCAAGCTTTGAGCTTTCTATGCACTTTTTCTGGGCTGTGCTCTCAATTTTATCCCATTCTCTGCTGCTTCAGAAGCCTTGGTGCCACTCCATGTGGTCGGCTCCCTCGAACAGGGCTGGAAGCCTGGCACCAGCTCCTCCATCCCACAACACCGGTATTTTCTGATTTCTCAGTGGACAGACGGCTCCCCTTATCTCATCAATTCTGGGCATTGGTACCACTCAGATATTAGCAGTTTCTGTTTGTCTCCACATAAAAGCTGGCAAATCTCCAAGCACAGTCTCATTGTACTTTCCGCTCATGTTTCTTATTTCACAAAATCCAGTGAATCACTTTGTCTTCGCTCATTAATGTTAATCTCCATCTCCAGTTCCATCCTGTCCTCTGAGCTTGAGTAAAGGCCACTTTACTGCCTCCTCCTCTATGTGACCAAGGTGTGACCGAAGGTGGTGGCTGCACTGAGGATCAGAGGATAAGGGCTTCAAGGTTTGTTTAAATGAGCTTTTCGAGTGGGAACAACTTAAAATGCTGAAGCAGCTGCTTAGGTGTCTTCCACCTAAATATTTCAGTTTGATTCAACTCAGCCTCTAAAGTGCTAGCAGGGTGGGGGCGTTGCGGGGGCCTGGAAGGGAACTCAGAGGCAACTGCACACGTGCCTGCCTGGGGAGGGCAGGGGCTGTGACAGCTGCGGGGACTCTGCTTCAGCACATGGAATTCCGATGTAACGTCACAAGACCTCAGAGGTATCACCAAAGCCCACTGCCCAGGAACAAAGCGGGAAAAGCCACTGGGACAGTTCTGGGGGGAAGGGGCAGGACCTGGTAGAGGAGAGAAGCAGCAGGACCATGAGGCGGAGTATTTAGGCTTGAATACCAGTTCTATAACAGAGATAAACTCTGCCCTCCTCCTTGCTTTGTAGCCCTGGACAAGTAATTTAACCTGAGCCACGGTTTCCCCCTCTATGTAACAGGATAGTTCCATCTTCTCACCCTCAGAAAGCTGTTGCAAGCACCAAGGATATGCATGTGAGCATTTTGAAATTTGAAAGCTCTGTGCACTCTTATGAAGGCATGTTCTTGCTACCGCCATGTTATCAGTCAGGACTTCGTCAACATTATTCAACCACATTTATTAAAAGCCACGATTGCAAATAGCTTTTCCTAACCACTACACGTATTTCTGGGGATCCAAAATGGATGAGACTTACAAAATAAAAAGGAACAGTTACAGATGATGTGTTTCCAAATAGAGAAAGGTGGGAGAATTTTTTATGATGCTGTATCATTATAGTACAGCTCTAGTCATTCAGCCACGATTAAAAACCCCGCCAGAAGAATGCTACCAAAAATAGCAGACCTAGAGGTTTTAATAACCTTATCAATCCTCCATGCAAATGAGCGTGCGCCTGACAGCTCCAGGCCAGAAAGAAGTCGCGTCAGGCCTAAAAGAGAGCCCTTATTAATAATGTAAGTGTACTGGATGCCAGGGTACTTGAATCTGCTGGGTACCAGAGCCCGACCCGTCCCAGGGCGGGTCCTGGCGCACAAAGCCGTGGCAGCCTTCCTCTCTCTCCTGCCCTTTAGCCTCCTCCTCACCCAGGCCCTCCCTGCCGCCCCATGGCTGGTGCGAGGCTGCTCCTAGGCAACAGCAGGCGCAGACAGGGCTCTTTATCTCGCCTTGTCAGAGGCAGTATCTCTTGTCCTGCTGTCCCTTGTTCTTTTGTGGCACTGACCTCAGTCACCATTTATTATTTTGCTTCTGAAGCACTTGGGAAGAATCCTTAAGAGGGTTGGGGGATGTGGGAGGGATGGGGAAAAATGAATGGGACGGGGAAATAAGGCTAAAAGAGCCTGCCAGCCCGCTGGGGGCGCCCCAGCCACTCGATGCCTGGAAGCCTCTTGGCCTGCAGACCAGGGCTCGTCACCCTTACCCGCCGCCAAGCATCCGAGAGATGGAGGACACACTCAGAGCGGGCGCGGCGCTTGGGAGTGCGGGCTCCACAGGCAGATCTGAATTCGCATCTCGGTCTGCCTCGGACAAGTGTTTACCTCTCCTAGCCTCGGTTTTCTCATCTGGACACTGGGACTAAGAACACACTCGACCTCATGGTGAACATCAGCTCTTGTTACTGGTGCAGTAGGAAGGGGCCTGCAATGTCCTTCTTCATATTCCAGTCCACTAAACATCTAAACGCTCAGCCAGACAAACCAATATTTACCGAGTTCTCACTCTATTCAAACTATCGTGTTAGTGCTGACAGAGGAACGAGTCACAAGGAAATTCTATAAAACCCAGTTGGGGCCGGGCCAGAGCCGGGGGGAGTGGGGTGGTTACACTGTTTTCACATTCACTGTCTCATTTTATCCCGTAACAACCTGTGGGGGCGGCATCACTCCCAGGTCTCAGACAAAGCACCTGCGGCTCAGAGAGGGCTGGGGCTGGCCCAGGGACACACAGGCAGCGACGACAGGGCCGGGATCCAAACCCATTTCTATTCTTCTCACTCCACCTTCTGTGCTTTCTCCCGTCACGAGCAAGGAGACAAGACAGAAGCAGAAATAACTTCAATCCTCAGCAACTACCAGTCCAGGCCACCTCCTACCGCCAGCCGTATCAGGGACACGCTTGTGACCTCGTCTTCCTCCTGCCTTTCCCTGACACGTCTGCCCCGTGCCTTCTAGCAAACAAGGAGCAAAGCTGGTGAGGCGAGGAGAAGAGAACCTAAGGGCTTGGGGGCATTCATCTGCAACATCAGTGGTGGGGTCATGAAACAACACGGAAGACCTGGATTTCACAGATCAGTTTAAAATGGGGGAGCAAACACAGGGTTGCCACTTTTAAATTTTGCTAAGTAAGAGCATTAAGAAACACATCATCTACCAAAAAAGAAAGTTTTAATAGTAAGGATATGGTTGCAGAAAAAAGGACAATCCTTCTCAAGAAAAGCCAGTCACCTTTCATACACACACAGGGTTTTTTTTTGTTTTATATCGCCCTTATTTTTTCTCATTTTACTGAAGTCCAGTAAAAACTTCTGATGTGCTTCAGACCATGGGGAGAGAGGGAAAACAAGAGAGAGGGAGGGAGAGAAAGAGATCGAGAGATTAAGCAATTGAGACACAGAGAGAGAGAGAGAGAGAGATTTTCTTTATGTATAACATGATGTAATAAACAACAGTGACTCATGTGATACATCCTCACGGACATACCCAGATTTGGATGAAATCCCAAACATTTTTGACAAGATACAAAGTACAAGAAAAAGTCATAATTATCACAGCTATTAGCGCTACAGAGAACAGATGCTTACTACCGACAGTGGGTTACGCAGTCTCCCACCTCCCCCTTTCCCACTCAAGGACAGATTTGAATGTAAGGGATGAAGAATGACATTATCACAGAAATAAACTGGAGTCAGCACTGATTTATTTTTTTAAAAATCAATCACAGTTGCTAATTACTGGTGACACCTCACAACCAGTCACGACTCAGCTGTGTGTTCTGAGGCCAGACAATCAGCTGAGCTGAAGGACTTTATCAACTCTCCTGTAGATGTCCTAGAGCACCAAGTCCAGCATCTGGCACATGGCAGAAGCCCAACAAATATCTAAATTGTAATTATATTAGATTTCATTTGCCCCTTGGGAAGGGAGAGGGCCTATCAAATCCATTCAATGATATTTATTGAGCACTGACCTTAGCAAGGCAACAGGGTGGGTGTTCTACATACGGGATCCCATTTACTCCCTCAGTAACTTAGTTTGACAGGCACTATTATCCCTACTCTTCTGATGACCATGCAGGCTGGGCAAAAGAAAGGGACTGTCCACCGGACTAATAAATGGAGGGGCTAGAATTCGATCAGGTATATATGACTTCAAGATTACGCTTTTTTCCAGCTACTCCACTATGCTTTTTTCAACTGTCTCCACTAGTAGAGACAGTCCCTGCTTTCAAGGAGCTTACAATCTCATACGAGACACCAACACATATACACAAGAACTAACAATTGTTCATGGCAGAAAGCAGTAAGTGCACAGACAGACGCAGAGATAGAGGAAAGAGGAGAATTCTAGAGGAGGCAGAGGAAAGGACAGAAAGAAAAGCTTGGTCAGGCCTTAAAAGGTGAGTGGGAATCCTGACAGATGAACAAAGTGAGGAAGACTTTCTGGACAGAGAGATGAACAAACACAGTGATGTCAAAGCAGAAAGCTCAAAGTGTTTTCTTGGAAAGTCCAACAGTCCAATTTGGCTGGAGGACAGAACTTGGCAAAGGAGAAAGGAGAAAGATGGCTGGGAAAAAAGGCTGGGGTTGAGTTGTGGCAGTGTAGAAGGACCCTAAAACCCAGGCTTAAGAAGTGTGGATATTTTTAATGGGGAATGAGAAGCCCTTTGGAGGTCTCTTGGGAGTTGGTGACATGGTTGTGTTTTCGGGCAATTATTCTGGTGGGCTGGGTTAAGAGAAGGAGAGACTGGAGGTAGGGACACCAGTTAGGAAGCTACAGCAATGGCCTAGGTAACAGGCATTAAAGACTTGATCCAGAGTGGTGGCTTCAGGAATAGAGAGGATGTGAGATCCTCATGGTAGAACAGATGGATAAGTAGAGAAAGCAGGCCAGTTTGATTTTAGAACTACATAGGAAGTTGCTGGTGAGACACGCAAATGGAGGTGCCTCGTCAGGAGTAGGTAATCACTGAATTACAGATCATTAGGGACAGAAGGAAAGCCACTGAGTCCAACCATCACATCAATATATCAGTCTCTACCCCCACTTCCACCCCAAAGTATTCCTAACCATGGAAGCACAGGAGAAAGATCAGAGCTGGAGATCTGGATTTGAGGGTCAAATGGAGACATGATGGCTGACACTAAGGGAGTTGGTGACACTTCTCAGAGGAGGAAAATATGGAGAAGTAAGAGACAAAGGAAGGAAAGTAACAAATACTGAGTCCACACTGGACTGGACTCTCTATACTTCAATTCACTTTATCCTCAGAATTCCCCAAGGAGATGCGCTGTAGTATCCTGATTTCATATACACTGAGACCAGAGCCCAGAGAGGTTAGGCAACTTGCTAGAGTCCTGTAATTCGGAATTCAAACTAGGTTTGCCAAGTTCTTTTCACGACACTAGATACCTCCCATGGGGAACACATCCTCGGGGAGGCCTACAGTTGGGTCAAAGAATCACACCCTAGAACGTCAGAGTTGAAGAGGCCTTAGAACTCATTCAAGCCAACTTCTCGTTTACAGATGGGGAAACTGAGGCCCAAAGAGGGAAATGACCAGCCTGAAGTCCCAGCATGTCGCCAACTGTCCAAGTCAAGCGGTCTGGGCCGAGGCGATGGCGACCACCGACTCAGCTGTGGAAGGAGGGGACTACTCCGCGAAAGGTGGGGGAATCAAGGTGCTGCGGGAGTCAGGTCAGGGAGGATGGGGAGCGCGAAGCTGGACGGGGCCTCGGCTGGGTAGGGAGGAGCGGCCTGCAGAGTCGCGATGGCCAAACTGTCACGACCGAGCTCGCAGGTCCTC